CAGCATCATCCGATTTCAGCATCATCCGTGACATTTAATTAAGAATAAGGCTTATAATTCGTTTTCACAGGATAATCATACTATGTATCTCGATGGAACTTATGGGGTTTCACCTGTCGGTAAGCAATCACGCGGTTTAAGCTGTGTTTTTATTGCATAAATACTATAATTAATGAAACTGATACAACTTTATGAAACTTGACCAGCAAATTTGTGGGAAACTTACAAATTTAAACTAATTGGATTGTTCATTGGTCTCTTGATATTATCAATAATATACTTTTTTGCGAGATGGAAGTATCCAGAGGTGAGCTGTCCTACATGCATTCGATAATGCTATTTGTTACATGATGAATGACTATTAATACATAAAACTGTTTTCACTCAGGGTCAAAGTTCTGTTGCCATAAAGCTTGCAGTAATACTTGCAGATCTGAGTCTTGATATAGCTTTTGTACTCTCAAGTGCAAGGAACGTCCCGCAATTACATATGCCAAGGTATTACTAGTACTATTACTATTACTTATACTCTCTATGATGCTTTAAAAAATTATTGATATGCACCATAATAATATTCGTTTGTTATGCAATTTGTTTTATTTTCAGCATAGCTTTCTTAATAGTTCCTATTGTCTTCAACTCTACCCTGGCGTTCTCAATCTTAATGACAGAACTAAGTAAAAATGCAAAATTTCAAGAATGGTTCAGTCAGAATGTAAAAATAACTTCAGTACTTACTCTGCTAGCAAGTGCAGATGTTGAAGCCATCACATTTCTCGGATCCAAATTTGCTGGTTGGCAAATGTTCTCTGCGCCTCTGTCAAAAAAGCACTGAATTATGTTTTCTGGGGTAGCACAGTGAATCTGTTTATTGAAGATATTCCCCAATTGGTCATTCAGGTATTTAGTATGTGAAGAAGATACTGGTTTAATCAAATGATACGAGTTTAGATGCTTACAATTGAATGTTTCTTTTCATAGATTCTGTATAGACATCTTACAGTATCATATGATATTATTCCATTTTTGTCATTGATAATGAGCTCTATCATCTTGACTTCTAATATTATTGGACATGTCTATGATGGATATATGAAATGGAAAGAAAAGAAACTCAGCCACCGCGCCTTACAAAAAGATGAAATATGAGCAAAAACTCATCACGCGCTTACATTCAGGCGGGTGAATGAGATAGACAGATGCATAGAAATCTAAGCATAGTCTTGTTAAAATTTTTATTTCTGTATTATTTATGATACTACTATTCCATGGACACGAGATCTTGACACCTGTGTTTTGGTAATAAGTTTCTAATACTAACTGCTTTGTTACCAAAGTCATGATATTTGTTTATTTAATTAGATGGCAGTTGTATTTTTATCACATATTTTTATATTTACATTATACGAGATTTAAAAAATCGAATTCGATCAATTGTACAATTACCCGCGTAATCAAGGGTTTGTGCAAAAATGACAATTTCGATGGTGTCGGGAGCCGTTGTGAAAGTACCGTAGAGTACTGAATATAGTACCCCGGGTATATATCTAGAGCACCTCAGGTTTTTGAATTGTACCCGGGGGATGTACTCGGGGTACTGTGTATGGAGGAGGGTACTATATTAGGGGTACTTTAAAATTCCTTCACAGAGTGATGTGATTGGTCAATTTTATCATATTAAAAATTCATCAGAATTTATCTCTACTTCCTAGCTAACGCGATGGAAACAAGTGTGTGAAAAGAGCTACTATAACTGAGAAAAGCGCCGAAGTTGGAATGCTTTAGAAAAACTTGCAATTATTTTATATCAGGAGAAGGTATGCAGTGTACAGTCAATTCTCTTTATAACGACCTTCTTTATACCGACTGGTGCCTTATAATGACCACATGTGCTTTGCCACATTCAATCACTATTAAAATCAGCTGTTTATATCGACCAGTCTTAGTATCTCTTTATACAAAAGTCCGTCAATTAATAAACAAATTACCATATACTATAAAATATATTTGTAAAACTCTTTTTATAGTAATAGTGATCGGTAATACAATCGATAATAATTTTTATATATGGGTAAAGTTTTCTTAGAGCAGCAAGGGGATAGTTTTAGCGTAAATCCTAATGATCTGCTCAGATTGAGATACTACATTAAGAGAGTTTCTTTCGAGCGTAATAGGGCAAAAAAGCAAACGAAAATTCAAAATTATATTCCTGATATAAGCTAGTTAGATATATGCCAAAAATGATGGGTTACTGTAATAAAATAATAGTGATATTTTGAAAAATTTATTTAAGTCCGCTGCTTATGACATTATATACACGTAATATGTATTTGTACTACCGCTGCTGCATATCAGCCCGAGGTGGTCGTTATAAAGAGAGTTGACTGTACGTTTCGCAGAATGGTTTTGTTGTAGTTCGATCTTCTTTCGATCACTAGAATTTGGTTGATTAAAATCGAAGCTGTTGATATCTCGTTGACTGATTATGAGACAGTGATTTTTTTCGTTGATTGTATGCGTTTATTACTATTACGCTTATCAAGTTATAGTACATCGTGAATGGCTTTGTACTGAGATACATATCATTGGTAAATAATAAAATTCCTACTGTTGACTACAGTCAACTTCCGTTAATTTTTGTGGTGCACTGCCGTCCCATATTTCATTCATCCCAAACATAAGCATGCATGTTATAAGTGTTTACTCATATTTCATCTTTCGGTATGGCGTGGTGGTTGAGCTTCTTTTCTTTCCATTTCATATATCCATCATAGACATGTCCGATAATATTAGAAGTTAAGATGATAGAGCTCATTACCAATGACAAGAATGGAATAATATCATATGAGACTGTTAGATGTCTATACAGAATCTATGAGATGACAGCAAATTCAATTGTCAATATCTAAACTCGTATCATTCGATCAAACCAGTATCTGCTTAACATACCTGAATGACCAATTGGGGAATATCTTCGATAAACAGATTCAATGTGCTAACCCAGAAAACGTAATTCAATGCAGTCTTTGACAGAGGTGCAGAGAACATCTGCCAACCAGCAAATTTGGATCCGAGAAATGTGATAGCTTCAACGTCAGCACTTGCTATCAGAGTGAGTACTGAAGTTATTCTTACATTCTGACTGAACCATTCTTGAAATTTAGTATTTTTACTTAGTTCTGTCATTAAGATTGAAAATGCCAAAGTAGAATTGAAGACAATAGGAACTATTAAGAAAGCTATACTGAAATAGAACAAATTGAGTAAATATCGAATATGATTTGATCGTGCACGCAATAAATTGTAAGTATCATAGAGAGTAATACCTTGGCGTATGTAATTGCGGGACGTTCCTTGCACTTGAAAGTACAAATGCTATATCAAGACTCAGATCTGCGAGTATTATTGCAAGCTTTATGACAACAAAACTTTGACCCTGAGTGAAAACAATTCACATATTAATATTAACATTTCATCATATTACGGCATTCAATGTATGCAGGACAGCTTAAGCTCACCTCTGGATACTTCCGTCTCGCGAAGAAGTATATTATTGATAATATCAAGAGACCAACGAGCAACCCAATTAGTTTAAATTTGTAAGTTTCCCACAAATTGGCTAGTCAGGTTTCATAAAATTCGTATTAGTTTTCATTTAATTAGCACTCCACGCAGTAAAAACACAGATTGAATTGTGTGATTGCATACCGACAGGTGAAAATCCATAAGTTTCATCAAGATAAAGAGTAGGATACTCCTGCGAGAATGAATTATAAGCCTTGTTTTTAATTAAATCATCAAGATCATCAATAACCCGCTGTACTGTTTTCTGCGACAGATCCTCGGTTGGTTTGAGAGTGACTGGAAACAATATCCGGTCCGGTGCATTAGGGTCAGGTTGATTGCGTCTGTTGGTGCTTATACGTGATGAATCAACGGGAATGAGCTCGGCAAGCTTTGTAATCATGGAGTCTAAGAAAGTGTTCTTATCATTAGTAGATAATTGTTCAAATAAAGTTGTTCCTTCAGGTGTCAACCTTAAAAGACCTGTCGTGGTCTCTATTTTATATTTACGTTCGAAAAGACAAGTGTTAGTCAGGTGGGCATAAGCATTTTATAAACGAATATGATGCTTTACCTGTATATTTTCCTTTAGCTTCAGTTGAGGCTAGTAAATGCACAATCATGGTAAGCAAACGTATGTTCAAACAATTAAAAAATGTTTGATAATGCATACCTCCATAGTACATCCAATTTTTTTTTGTCACGCCGGGAAGTGGTTGTTTCAAACTTTTACTCATTACAAAATTGTTATCCACAACGACATCATATGTAGCACCGGGTTGGTTAAACGTACTTTTGAATATCTTACATGTTACAGCTGAATCATTTAACGTAACAGAACAAAAATCCGATTTCGCATTGAAGCGCTGCCTGAGAATAGGGTTTCCGTCAGTCTCTTGGTAAACTGAAATGTTTTGTGTCGAAAGCGCAACCTGATCCCTGAATATCAGTGTAATATTCGTAGTATCTGAAGACAAATATGCGCCTAATCGCGGAATTGATGAATTTACAAGAAGATTGTTGAATCCAGCATCTGAAGATAAGAGTATGACGATTATTAAATGCGTCGCGTCGGAATAAATGAAAAATGCATGTCGTCAGCAATTATATATATAGTTATGGTATTAAATTAACTCACCTTCTGGCAATAGTTTGGGAAGCGGTACATAACCCATATCTAACTCTGACCGCCACCGAAACGCCACCCACAGGGTGTTGTTCGGAAATATAGCAAAATCACCGAAATAAGCTTCCGGATTGATTGAAAAGCCCATTATAGTCGTTCCATTATTATCTTTGACAGTTACATTACATGTAAATGTATAATTGTGAGAAACGAAAGTTCTGACCGAATTTATAAACAGAAATCCGCCATAAGGCAGACTCCGTATTCCCCATATATTTTTTTCAGTTTTCTCTGTATCAGACAATATTACGTTGACATCAGTTACAGAGCCACTAGATAGGAATGTCACCTTTACGAAATCACTACCAAGACTGGTAGGTATAGTTTCATTAGGAATGCCTATAATACAAAAATATCCCGTTCCCTCAGCAGCCACTTCGCACCCATTCATTTGCGCTCCAGTGCATGGGTTGGGGCTCTGCCAGACTAAATGAGGGCTATCAAATTGTAAAGCATCAGGTTGCCAAAATTTAACATATAAAACACATTGTGGAAAAGAATGTAATACTTTAGAGGCGAGTGGATCGTAATAATTGAATATTATGCTTTCTAAAGTAGCTATGCCATAACCGCCTTCCGTGGTTGGAAAAATTGAGAAATCGTACAGGTCGTTGTCACTATGTCCCGTGATAGTGCCGTTGTACAGTTGGGTAATTTGATTCGTGCTATTACTATTTTGGAAATAAGTGGAAAATGAAGCGTGGGATTTACCATCGAATGTAATTGCGGTGAAATTTAATGTTTATACTCACGGCGCACTAAAAATTTTCCACTGAACTTCATCAATAGTCTCGGTTGCTACGAGAAAATCCTTAGTCGGATCGACGTTAGCCTTTACGAGTGATTTAGATATGAAAGTGTCGTTGAGAGGACCATCGGTAAGCATCACATCACTATCCATGCCATGAATGCAAAATATATTAATTCAACAGAATTTCCCAAGCTCTCATTAAACGTTTCACTTTCTGACTTTTCGACAATTTTCTTGCTTGAAGTAACTCTTACCTTTGTAATACCTGGCCACTCCAATCGACCAACTTTCCATGCATAATTTGGTCGTCGTTTGCCTGCGTTACAAACACACCCGTCATTGAGCGGGTAAGCACGCGGGGTGTATTCAGTAAAATTGTATGTTGGTATAGTAAATTTGGTCAACGTGCCATTTGGATGTAGCAGACGAATATACAAATTATTTTCGGTTTGCTGCGTAATATTATCAAATAGACACAATTGTATCAACCCTGTGCCATCTGGATACGTAAATCCATTGTCAAGATCAATGAATAGAAGATCTTCAATTTCATCGTACACGGAAGTACTGTTTTCAAAAGCCCGAACGCTTGGAACAAAAACAATAATAAGAACGAACAGTAAGATATAGCAGAGCTTGCTAATCATTATCATTCATATAATATATATGCAAGAATGGGATAGAACTGGCAATGAAACCGAGCTACGTTCTAGTTAGGATTAGAACCCAAACGAAAAATGGTGCTTTTATTGATTCATGTCATTATCCCTGATACACATTCTCCTTGAGTTTGGGTGACAAAAATCCCAGTACACAATATTGCACATGTCATACGTTAATGCGTATGGAATGACAAATTAACATTTAGCCCGGGTGCACTTCTGCAACTTTGTCTGACAATATTTTTTCTACTGTTGATCCGTCATGATTAGGAAATTGCGCTAACCTTCTTTTCTCAATTTTTTAATTGGGCATCTTTATATAGATCTATATCTAAGTTTAGAACTTGATCAACGTCTAGATTACTGCACCGCTGTATTTTTTTTTTATAAAAAAATTTTTTTGTGTATCATTGCTCAAATACTTTTGTATTGACATTCGTTTTTGCAATTATATTATGGGAGCACTCAAACAACAAATGATTGTCCTTGATGCCTGCTGTTATCTACAGTCAACCGCCTTAATTCGGACACCAACTTTCCGAGGCCATAGATGGACGAATTATCGATTCATACTGTTGACAAAAAATAACCACAAATTTTATTATGAAATATGGATTGGATATTTATCGTTTCTAAAGATAACTGTTTATATTGTAATTTACGATAATATAAAACTCGACTAATTAGTCGTCGAACAACTAGTAAATTATCTGCATGAATATGTTATCTTGTCGTTCAAGAAACGATAATGACCTCCTTAATGCATCTTCGCCTTTTTTTAACGAACTTTTTATATCAGAATTATCTTCTGTTATTACAATTTTAGAACATCTTGAATAATATCGTCGTCCATATGTTAGCATAAGTATAACACAAAATAACCCATCGTCTCTTCGATGTTTACCTATTTTCTGCATTTATGCAGCAGTTAGATGTGTGTAAGGCTTGGGACGTTTTTTACTAGTAAGTGTATATGTAACGATCCATCAAACTCTTTCGTGATTTGGACGACTGAATTTTATCCAAGCATCCAAATTAACGAGAAATTATTACATTGGAACGATCTGTAATGGACGAATTAAGTTATCTTTACAATACTTAATTTATACGGTTGATTACTTACACCTAATTATAGAGATTTCATAATTATGGACGAATAAAAGGAAGGAATATGTTATGAAAAAACGAGTCCGGCGTCAAGCGTCCGGGTTATCGGAGGGACGAATTAAGGCAGTTGACTGTATTATGCTGTTCTATCATATAGACTTAGTCAATTATAACACATGATGCGTAACTTCCGATCAAAAACGTAATTTTATTTGCTTTGATGTTATCCCTAAACATAATAATAAAATACTGTATGACAAATTTTCACTTTTTTTTCTAACTAGACAAGTCTCGTCACATTATACACAAATTATTATTATTTGTGTGCTTATAGTACATAAACGGATAGTTGTATAATTACTGTATATAGTCAAACCGATGTGACTGTTCTCACCATTTCAGAGATATTTTGGTAATTGAAAACTTTTATATTAATTATATATGGTAAGGACGATAAGCTACATTAGTTTGCTTCAACTACACCATACGAGAAAACTGACATATACAACGCAGAAAAAAAAATCACACTTATCCTTAGTTCTTGTTTACCAAATGAGGAACATTGTACAATACCTTATTTTATGAAGGCTGAAACTCTTACGCATGCACTTAAATAAGACTATACTGAATTAAGACGTTCAAACCAAAAAGAAATTACTTGTAACGTTTCTTATTGTATTCATTATTTTAATTAAATAAAGTATTATAACTATGGTTTGTCTACTTTATTTTAATGTGTATGTTCTGACCAAAAACCTATTTACAGTTGAATTCCCATTGTTACGATCATTGTTCTCGTCGACTGAAATTTTTTTGTTGGTCCAATATAGTTCGTCATTTCACAAATAATGCATAAACAGTTATGTTGTGAATATAATAGATGGACGGGTGCACAGAAGAAGAAAGAAGGCGTATAAAGCCATATACACAATTCTCGAGGAAATCGACATAAGCAACATTCACCCAACTGCTAGCAGCTAGCGTGCTACAGTCAGAGAGATTCCCCGATTAGTTGTACCCACGAGAAAAATCCTATGTGCAATCAACGAAAAGATACCGAACGTCTGTTATAGTCAATTCCCTTCAACTCCTGAAGGTCCATACCGCAATGCAGAAAAAAAATTAAATCACACTTATCGTTAGTTCTTGTTTACCAAACGAGGAACCTTGTACAATACCTTATTTTATGAAGGCTGAAACTCTTACGCATGCACTTAAATAAGACTATACTGAATTAAGACGTTCAAACCAAAAAAAAATTACTTGTATCGTTTCTTATTGTATTCATTAGTTTAATTAAATAAAGTATTATAACTATGGTTTGTCTACTTTATTTTAATGTATATGTTCTGACCAAAAACCTACTTACAGTTGAATCCCCATCGTTACGGTAATTGTTCACGTCGATTAAAATGTTATTTGTTGGTCCAATATAGCTCGTCATTTCATAAATGATACATAAACAGATATTTGTGTTGCTTTGGAAAGGTGTTAATGAGCATATATATAATTTGTACCCACGAGAAAAATTTTATGTGCAATCAACGAAAAAAAAGCCCGAACCCTCTCTGTTATAATCAATTCCAAGAAATCCGTCAACAACAAAGTCATTCGGTAGCAGCGTACCAGTACGAGCGAGTGTTTTCAAAACATTGAGTACAAATACTTTTCAAGTACTGTCATGAAAACTATCGGCAAGATTTTAACGTCGGCGATTATCTTCAATATTTACGGAGAAACTGATATATGAGAACAAAACCCTCTATATTACATTACTAAATGCAGCGCTTCTATGGCATTAATTGGAACATCGAGCTGTTGAGAAGGCCCTGAATATATTGAGAGCCTCCGATATTATAAGGTTATACAGTCTAACAATACATGTATCGTAATCAATAATACTCCTAATTCGAAAATGCATGCATGCATATATCTTTCTGAAACGATGTTTACCTCTGCTCATTCAAAAGACGAAATATCGCTTGACAAAACGTATCAGCTATACTCGTACTCTAGCACGTTAGTTGAAATAAGTGCTCAACAGTTAGTTCAGTCGGTTGATTCTTTACTGATTTCAAGGTCAAAGGTAAATGCCGTCATTCTTTGCTGAAATCCGGACCCTTCAAATACTTTACATGTAGGATATCTTTACACAAGAGCCCCTCATAACTTATTACTTTTCCTTAGTCTGCGTAAGTAAGGTTTATTAGATTGAATGTAAGTAATATTTGATAAACTGCTAAGCTCACCATTTCGCTATGATTTTCATATATAGGAGATGTTTGATGCCTGCCAAAGAACGCGATTGCGTACTCGCATTAAACTGTAACAGTAATAGTAGGCTTTCCGGGTTTTTCTACAAAGTCAAATAAGATGAAATGCAATAATATGAATTATCATGAAGACTGGTAAGCATCACTTATACTATGACTATTTAAGATTACTTGTATAAAAATTTAATTACTAAATTTTATGCGTATCTTTCTTTATAAAGGGTAAGATAAACGCATGCAAGTATTTTATTCTACTGTTGCTCGAATCTAACTACCTTAGATGGATGTGTCTCGATAAGTCGGTTTTATGCGACAATTTGTGCGTATTCAATTTAATTGGTAGACCCCCCCCCCCCCCCCCCGTGAGATGAGTAGCAATTCCTTATAACTCGGCAATGCACTATGTGTAGCAATCGAATAACGTGGGTGAGTTTTGTGTTGTCAGGAACGAATATTTACGTCAGGCAAGAAAAACAAGTCAATTTTTTTAACCATTTTACGATGTAATTATATTAGTGCATTAATAAACGTATTAATTAAACGTATTATCTTCGATCACATAATTTTCGATAGTCAGCTTCCTCGATAAGTCGGTCATTTGAGGCCGGCTACTGTTGGCCGACTTGTCGAAACTGACTGTGTATTAACTTTAGGTCGATTAAAAATGTGAACAATCAGGCAAACGAGTTTATATTTGTTTTATTTTAAACCGCTCGTTTATAGTTTTTTTTATTAATAATATTTTTTGAATTTCTTTGAAACTTCTCGAGAAATATCAATTAGAATCAGGACATCTGGACAAGAGATAGTTTCCAAACTATATAATAATCATGCCTCCAAGGCATTAAGAATAGTGTGGATATTTATAAACGCAAGGTACAATTGGTAACATTAAAAAAAAAACTCATAACCTGGAACCTCAATTCTACCTTGAAGACGAAACAAAGTTTTTGTTTGGGAGAAATTCCGCATAAGGGTTAAAACAATTTCTGAAATAATAATGTACGCACTTATATAAGCATATTCCAGAATATCTTTACAGAGATTTAAGACAATAACTAAAGCATACTAGCCGCCTTGTTAAAATAATATGCCTGAAGCTATAAACTACGTCCTAACAGTGACTGATTTGAATCCAATAGTGAGTATTATAGAGAAAAAATTACTGAAACAAATTCGTAGTTGTGTGCGCTTCATAATGAATGAGTGGAATAATACTCCACAATTAACTCGATTGGGTTAATACGATCAATGAGATGTTTATGTGGACTTGTCATAGAAGCAATGGTGAATGTAAT